AGGGAGCCCGATGTGGGACTCAATCCCAGGACCCTGGGATCATGACCTGAGCCTAAGGCAGACGCTTAACGACTGAGCCACCCAGGCGCCCTTTCGTCCATTCATTTATCAACAATTATTGAGTCAGGCCCTGTTAGGACTCCTGAGGTATAGCAATTAACAAAACAAAGTCCCCCACTCATAGAGTTTACATTATAGGGCTCTGCGGCCATGGATATTTAAATTTAAATTAATTAAAATTAAATAGAAGTACATACTCAGTTCCATTGCCACACTAGCCACATTTCAGGTACTCAATAGCCACTTGTGGCCTAGAGGCTACTGTATTAGAGCTGATACAGAACATTTCCATTATCAAAGTAATGCTCTTTTGAACAGTTCTGCTCTAAAGGAAAGAAATTTGCCTTGTAACTTGACTAAAGTAATGATTTGTTAGCAGAGTATGAAAAGTCTGGGTAAAAGGAGCAAGAGAATTCATTAACAGATCTCAGAATGAAGGGATTCAGACCATGTACCAGAAATAGTCCAGCTGGACTGGTTCATTCCTAAATCACCTTCTGTCACCATCATAAACCACATTCTAACCTCCCTGCCCAATTCCCTCTTTAAGTACATTTTCTGCAACTTGACTGTCTACACTATACGTAACCAATTAGGAATTCCTCATTCTACATTAATGATATTGTTTTGCAAATCAATCTCATATATAGGAGTTTGGTAAATACTAATCAATTTCCCTGAACCTGACCCCCAGTGAGTAAAGGTGAAAAACGTCCAAGCTGAGAACCAGACCTTTTGCACTGTGAGTACAGCAAGGACTACTAGCTGCCTACATTCTTCCTTAAGAACAAAATCCTGATTTTTAGGGTGGCAGTCAACCAGTGTCCATGAGCTGGAAGACTAGTTTGCAGCCTTCACTGCAACTGGATGGATCCATGTAATTGTTCAGTGGGATTGTAGCCAGGGCACTGGGGTACAAGAGCACCTGGCCCTGGGGGTTCCAAACAGTCCAGGTTCGGCCATTCGCCACTGATAAAATCCGGAGGCAGAGAGATGAGTGGTGGTGAAAACAAGAAAGTTTATTTCAGTGACGCACACGCTGGGAAGACAGAGGACTATGGTCTCAAAGACGGTCTCCAAAGCGCTGAAAATACTTGCAGGTATATATAAGGAAAATGTGGGCCAAAGGTGGGTGGGTAAGTGCAGGTGGGCAGTGAAGGTCAAATCCATCCTCTTGGAGTCAATCAAGGGTGGTGTCTTGCTAACTCAGGGCAGTCCTTATTGCTTGATGGGGTAGTTTTGATTCTTATCAGGGGATGCTTAGCCTTCAGGCTCTTCCACCTGAGTGGAGACAAACTGGGAAGACGAACCCAACTAGAAAAGTTTGAGGTCAAATGGAGGCCGACTAAGTCCTCTTTTAGGACTTCTAGAATTGCTCCCTAGGAGGGAAACACACACTAGAATGTACCTCTTTTGTCCTTCCCCTTTTCTTGCAGCCTGCAACGTGGATGTGATGGTTGGAGTTCCAGCCTCTACTGCAGACCATATAGGTGGTGAAGAAAGGAAAATCCTAGGCCCCTGATGCCCATGAAGCTACCACATAAGTCTGGACTGCATATCTCTGAGTTTTATTTATATGAGAGAATGAATAAACCCGTTTAAGCTATTGTAGTCAATCCCAAAGTGATAAAAGGGGGAACTCTTCTGAGGTGCTTTTCTCATGTGAGGGCCTGTGTGCAGAGGCCAGAAGACATTGTCTTTTAGACCTCTTTAATTGCAAGAGATACCAAGTCATATTCAGCTGTAAAATTTAGGACAATCTTAGATTTTGTTAGAAAACACTGAATAAGTAAGAAATAAAATGTTATAAAAAAATTTCAGCAGCGCCTGGGTGACTCAGTCAGTTAAGCATCCGACTTTTGATCTCAGCTCAGGTCTTAATCTCAGGGTTATGAGTTCAAGCCCCGCACTGGGTTCCACCCTGGGCATGAAGCCTACTTAAAAAAAAAAAAATTCAAATGATGCCAAAGTAAGAGCTAATTAGCTGAAGACCAAATCCTTTTGATTTTGTCAGTGGCTTGCAATTAGTAACTTTCCCTATTTGCATTGCTGGTGTTCTAAGTAGGTATTTTCAAGATACAGCACAAATTTTAAAAAAAAATATTCATTCATTCATTCATTCATTCAGTGAGTGAGTGAGTAAAGTGATAGAAATTTATTAAGTGAAGATACAGAAAAAGCTCTCAAGAGTGAGAGGGGTCCTGACAGGGTTGCTCCAGCACAAATTTTTTATTTATTTATTTATTTTTAAAACATTTTATTTATTTATTCATTTGAGAGAGCGAGAATGAGAGAGAGAGAGAGAGCACACATGAGAGGGGGGAGGGTCAGAGGGAGAAGCAGACTCCCTGCTCAGCAGGGACCCCGATGCAGGACTCGATCCTGGGACTCCAGGATCATGACCTGAGCCGAAGGCAGTCGCTTAACCAACTAAGCCACCCAGGCGCCCCTATTTTTATTTTTTTTTTAAAGATTTTTATTTAATTGACTAAGTCAGAAAGCACAAGCAGGGGGAAACAGTAGAGGGAGCGAGAAAAGCAGACTCCCCTCTGAGCAAGGAGCCCATGATCTCAGGACCCTGGGATCATGACCTGAGCTGAAGGCAGATGCCTAACCAACTGAGCCACCCCTCCCCGCCCCCCCCACACAAATTTTTTAGATGACAGGGTGGAGCTTACAAAATATCTTGAAGTTCAAATCAGATTTTCCTAAGATTTTCTTTTCTGGATTTCTAGTTTCTGAATTACCATGAGCTATTAAACACGAACCCGAGATAGAAATCTCTTGACGCAACTCAAATTCTTTCAGTGAACAATTAGTGTTGTGATTAAACAGAAGAACGTCTTTAATACAACACATATCCACTAAATCCCTAAATATTTCCAAATAACGTAATTAGAGGATTAATGGAATAGTTTCAGGAATGTTTTGCAAAGTAATAAAATGTGGGGGAAAAAAAAGTAGTAAGATTTGGAAAGAATTATGCATCCAAATTCAACCAATATTTATTAACAACCTACTGAGGACACCAGACATTTTTTCATTGCCTTATTTAATATCCCCAAAACCTTTTAACTCACAAAAACTCCGTTTTATGCTTAGGCTTAGGGAGCCTGGCTTTCCCAAGGTTAAAGGACCAGTAACAGACAAAGCCAAGATTCAACCTAGGGTCCTTTGACTCTTAACTTCAGTACTTTTTTTCACTATGGCTTTTATAAAACTTGAAAAAGTTTTTAATTGAACATAAAACTAGAGAAGAGTGGAGAGAGCAGTTTAGGGATATGATATCAGCAAATGGAAATATTTCTAAAAAATTTGAAAATGTTGGGGCGCCTGGGTGGCTCAGTCGTTAAGCGTCTGCCTTCGGCTCAGGTCATGATCCCAGGGTCCTGGGATGGAGCCCCTCATCGGGCTCCCTGCTCAGCGAGGAGACTGCTTCTCCCTCTCCCACTCCCCCTGCTTGTGTTCCCTCTCTCGCTGTGTCTCTCTCTGTCAAATAAATAAAATCTTAAAAAAAAAAAATTGAAAATGTTAAAGCTAAGGAAAATAATTGAAGATCTTCCTGGGATAACCTGTTCCACTCATATATCCCAGAAATAATCAAGAGGTTTGAGAGATCCTTCACAGACATTCTGTCAGAAGATGTCCATTTGTTTTCAAATTCCCTTCATGCCATTTTTTAGCTTCCTCCCAGTTACCGGGGGTCCTCTAGGGTGTCCGGTGCAGCCCGGGACGACATCTTTTTGGCAGCGTACTATTTCCTGGCTCTTTTCCATTTTGACTTCTCCATCATCTCAATTCAGTTTTGTGCTCGGCTCTTTCCCAAGTTGCTTTCTCTTACTGTGCAGAATGCTTCGTTATTAGATTTAGAAAAAAACAAAAATGTTGGATGTATTATAATTGCCTGATTCTTAAGAACAAAAATTTATGTGAGGATAGGACTGGTTTTAAATTGTTCACGATTGGGAGATCCGTGCAAAACCCGGTGCTAGGGATCCCGCAGAGCATAAAAATATTTGTTGAATGTAACAAGCTCCCCGGTTTCACACAAAAAGGGAAATTGTTTCCTTGAGTGTTTGTTTTGGACCTAATAACTGGGTCTAAAGCCCACATAACATTTAGGCAGGTAGGAAGCTCCCTATTTTTAACTCTCTAGCACTTAGGACATAGTTTCATTGTCATCTTAAAGTGACACTATATCCCTTTTTTCAAACAGAGGACATAATTCAAGACCAAGTGCAAAACAGAAAGGAAAGTTCTTCAGCTGTTTGCCTGAGGAATCCGCAAGCTTTCAAATACGGAACTCCAACTGGGAGATGGGAAAGCTGTGCAAACTCCAGAGACACCTTACGTCCTCCCCAAGACCTTGCGCCCCCCACGACTAACCCCAGAGGGCAGCGGCAACCTGTAGCCCCGTCCTCGGACTCAGCTCTGCCCCACGAAAGCGTCCGAAAGCTACAGCTGGGGTAGCGCCTGGGCCAAACGCTAAAAAGTCCTCCGACGCCTCCCGAGAACCGAGAGCGAGGCCAAAAGCCCAGTACCCTACCCTCAACCTTTGTGGACAGCCTCGCGGTCCCCCCAGGCCCCGACCCTCCGTAAACGCGAAGTTGACATTTTTGTTCCCAGAAATGGGTGGTAGCTGCGCGGCGCGAGGCGTAGGGCGGAAGCTTGGAGAGATTTCATCTAAGCCCCACCCAGGCCCAGCACCTCCCAGGGCAGCCCGGCAGGGTAGGGAGGGGGCAGGAAGCCTGCCCCGCTTCCCCCACTCTCCGCACTAGAGGCCCGGGAACCCCTTCCTCCCCCTCTCCACCTACCACCCCGTCGCGAGCACCGCGCAACGCGGCATTGTGTCCCCGAGCCAAGTCCCCGGATGCTCACCTCCCCTCACCGGCCCGCGCCGTGGCTCCACCCCTCGCGCGGCTTTGCGTGCCACGTCACCGCTTTCGGCGCTTCCGGAGGCGCAGCGGGCGATGACGTAGGGGGACGTGCCCTCTATATGAGGTTGGGGAGCGGCTGAGTCGGCCTTTTCCGCCCGCTCCCCCCTCCCCCCGAGTGCCGCTCCGGCTGCACCGCGCTCGCTCAGAGCTCCCGGCTTCTGCCAAGGTAGTGCCGCCGTCGTCTCTCTCCAGCCGTCGTCATGATCATCTACCGGGACCTCATCAGCCGTGAGTCGTGACTGCACTACCACTACTGCCGCGCGCAGGGGACAGGGGTGCGGGTGGGGGCGGGGAGGAAGGACGCCGCCGCTGTCGTGGGCCTAGGGGACGCTGGCGGCCTTTCCGGGAGCGAGGAAGGGTTGGTGCCTGGGGCACGCCTCGGGGTCTCGAGCGCCCGGGGAGGAGCGGGGGCCGCGTGCCCCTGGCCCGCGCGGGAAATGGCGGCGCCGGTTCCAGACCTTCGGGCGCGCCGTGACAGGCGGGTCTGTGTCCCCGAGCAGATGATGAGATGTTCTCCGACATCTACAAGATCCGGGAGATCGCGGACGGGTTGTGCCTGGAGGTGGAGGGGAAGGTGAGTCGGTCGGGCCGCGCGGCGCGGGGGAGGCAAGGCCGGGCAGGCTCGGGTTTCCGCCGCTCCCCCGCCCAAAGTTGTGCAATCCTCTCCGCTGCCTCCTGGCGGAGGAGACGCTCTTTCCGGGCTCGGGTTTTTCTAGAAAAGTGGAGGCGGAGCTGAGCCTGGAAATAGGTCCGCCGCTTTGGCGCCCATCCTCCTCCCGGGCCATCCGGGACAGGTAGGCTCCGATTAGGGAGCCCCAAGCCCTTCAACGTTTGCTCTACATGTACTTGCTTATCATCCCAAAAGCCCACATAGAACCTTTACTTGGATGTAAATGACCCCGTTTTCCTTCCGGTCAACAAAGAATTCTTAACTGAGTTAACGATGTTTCAGGAATTGCAGGCGGCTTGAGTTTTTTCTGCATAACAATGTTTTAGTGGTTTTGGCAAAAGTCAAAAGTGTTTTGGTGGGAGGATGATGGATATGTGAACTGCTGACACAAGATTTGGGGGATTCCTTTAGCTAAGGTCAAAAACATCTGAAACCGAACTATTTTCTTTCTTAATGCAGATGGTCAGTAGGACAGAGGGTAACATTGATGACTCGCTCATTGGTGGAAATGCCTCCGCTGAAGGCCCAGAGGGCGAAGGTACCGAAAGCACAGTAATCACTGGTGTTGATATTGTCATGAACCATCACTTGCAGGAAACCAGCTTCACAAAAGAAGCCTACAAGAAGTACATCAAAGATTACATGAAATCGTAAGTGCTGCTGGCAGCGCCCACCTACTGCCCGCAATCCTGTGGGATTCGGGGATAAGCTGCCTTGGAGGGTCTTTAGCAGCAGGCTTACTTGTGAAAGGCCTTAACCTTTTCTGTTGTGAGCTCACAAGGACAGGTGCTTTTCCATAAATAAACTAACGTGAACATACTGGAGCATGCAGTGTGGTTTTAGCTTTTTAGAAGTGTACTTTGGGAATAACATGAAATCCAAAATTTGAACAGTCTTGAAACTTTGATCCTGTGAGCTAGTAGTTTCTTGATTGTGCCATGTTAATCTGGCCCAGTGACAGCTAGTTGCCCTTTTCAGTGCTTGCTTGTTTTCCTTTGGATTTTTTTTACTGAAAAAATTCGTTTTGCTGAGAACTGAGTACTTTAACCTATTAATAAAATACTGTTTTAGAATCAAAGGGAAACTTGAAGAACAGAGGCCAGAAAGAGTAAAGCCTTTTATGACAGGGGCTGCAGAACAAATCAAGCACATCCTTGCTAATTTCAAAAACTACCAGGTAAATACTGTAAATGTTTGTGTCAAAGATGTGTGCAATTTAGCTGCCAGAGCAACAAATTACTTGATGAATCATTGGTGTAACCTGGCTGTCTCCTGGGTCTTTTGAGCAGTTTAAATACTTCATAGATTCAATTCCAGTAGCCTAGGCTGTGGAAAGTAGCCTTCCCTGCTCCTGAGTTTGTTTCTAGATCTTGTCTGCTTGATTCCAGAATCTCATCCCTACTCACTTCCCAGAGGACATTTTTCATTTCTCCCTGTCTAGAATTGCTTGTTAATATCCTAAGTGGTCTTCCAATCTTCTTTTTATTTCCAACTCCAGTGTCTCATTGCCACTGGAGTTCTTTCTACACTTGTTCTGTTGGGGAAACTCAGTGACTTTCCCTTACCTCTACAGGAATAAAGAAAAAACTCATTACAGCCTGGCTCTTTGATTTTCCAACTTTCACATGTCCTCTGGCTATAAAGATAACTTTATCCATATGATGTTCTGTCTTCGTTGTATGTTCCCTATGCTTGATGATGTAAACAGGCTTTTACAGAGTTTGGAATTGTATATGTGGGGTTGAGAGAGTGTGTTTCCAGAAAGTCTAAAGTGTTCTGGATTGCTCTGTACTTACTTTGGTCAATTGTTAGTGTTCTCATTCGGTGAGCAGAAGTTTGGTTAGAATTTTTTTTTTCTCCTGGTGAAAACCTCTTAAATTGTGGTGTTTTGAATCCTCCTTTGATTGTTTTATTGTAGTTTGTTTTGATACGATCTGTATATAACGGTCTAATTCTGGGTATTTGTTTGCTTCCTAAGTTCTTTATTGGTGAAAACATGAATCCAGATGGCATGGTTGCTCTGCTGGACTACCGTGAGGATGGTGTGACCCCATATATGATTTTCTTTAAGGATGGTTTAGAAATGGAGAAATGTGTAAGTATAAGGAAGTGGGTTGAAATCCGTAATGTAAAAATGGAGACCTCTTTGGTGTGATTCCTTGTTTCCTGCCCCTGGGATAGTTAGAATGGGTTTTACAGCAGTCTTTGTAAAATGTAGGTCTAGTTCTTGTTTCTTTTTGGGAGTCTAATAGAGTTGTGTTTCACATGTAAAAGATTTTTATGGGACAGAAAGGGACTTAGAATTTTTATATACAGAAAGTTTTTCTTGTAGGTGGCTTAAATCACTAAGCTGGAGATGAGAAACAGCACCCTGTGTTGATCTTCCCCCCTAGAAATGGTCCTTCTCTTCATATTTTGCCAAGCATACGTGAATGGCTTGTATGGCATGTGAAACCTTTTTCACTTTGGTTTACTGATAATTGACAACTGGTCATTGAAAGCCTTGATGTTACTAGCTTTTAGTAAATAAAGTTAGAGGTGGCTGCTTACCCAATATGCAGAATCCTTCAGTAAAATTAAATGAATGTCTACAATGCAAGGAATTTCTGGAGGCAATACAGGAATGAAAGCATTCATTATCCCAGCTTTCAGAGGCTTCCATGTAAATTAGGAGTAAGATCAAGTTAAGGCTACACTAAATAAGATTAGAGGCAACAGTGGACAAAAATGTCTTAGGATGGTACAGATGATTTGCTAAGGGGATTATTCCAGGAATATCTGTGGTTTTTGTTAGTAGAACAAAAGTATATGTAGTATGAGTGGGGCTTGCTTCAGAATGAGATTTCTAGAAAATGTGCTACCCCCGCTTTGGTAAGGATGGTTGTGCATCCACTGATAGACCTTGAACAATTGGCTGTTGTTCTTTTGGTTTGCACTAGGATGCGAGAGAAGAAAATCCCTGAGCTTTCTGTCTGTCTTTGTGGCAGCCCAGATTGAATAGGGGAATACATCTGCAGCATAGAAATGTTAAATATTTTCATACCGGGTAAAAGTGTTAATACAGTCTCTCGTTTTTACAGTAACGAATTCGGCCATGACTTTGGATGTGTCACCTATTGCCGTAACGGGCTGCTCCTCTTCATCCACACGACACCAGGACTTAGACAGATGGGACTGATGGCATCTTGAGCTCTTCATTTGTTTTGACCCTGATTTATTTGGAGCGGAGGCATTGTTTTTAAGAAAAAAAACATGTCATGTAGGTTGTCTAAAAATAAAATGCATTTAAACTCATTTGAGAGAATGCCTCTTAGTTTAACACATATTTAAATCCATCTGGTGTAGTGTCCTGGAGAAGCTAGAGCCTGGTCGTAGACAACTGCTAGAAAGCATAAGACTGCCTGCAGATAACTTCTACCGTGAAAAACTACTGGGACTGGAATATAAAAAACAAGAATCCAAAAGTCGTAATTCTGAGTTCAAGTAAAGGGAAAGACCATGCTCATAGCTGGGCCAACATTTGAAGTGGATTCCTTACACATTTCATCACCTACCAACGGAAGTAGTTAACTCTGGAGGAGATTACCAAAAGAATGAAAAGAGACTAATGACAGTTGGAAGCAAAGTATTGTGTGATCTTATTTGTCATAAGTCAAGTAGAGCCAAGTTCTAGAGAAACCTAGATGTCTCCTGGAATGCTTGTGTCAAACACCCTGGAATGGCTTGTCCTGCCACCTATTTTTGTGACTTCAAGGTGGTGGTTACATTTTTGAATGGTTGGGAGAAAATAGGTTGTGGGATGTGAAAAATATGAAATCTAAATTCGTGTACAGTTTTATTGAGCCCTGCCATGCTCATGTTTTTATGTATTGACTGGCTCTTCACTGTTAAGAGCAGAGTGTGACAGAGACCTTAAGGCCTACAAATCCTAAAACAGCTATGTGGCCCCTCACAAGACAGGTTTGCCTGCCCCTGCTTCCAAAGATGAAGTTCTAGATGGAGTGTGGGCCGAGGAAAATGCTGCTGTTGTGTCCTGTCGTGTCTGAAAGGGCTGTGGGTGTCAGGAGAATAAGAAAAATGCATCCGTTTGACAGACCTGGAGCAGTTCCTGTCTGCTGCTAAGGTTTCCACTAGAGATGCAAGAAAAAAGTGTCCTCGCGCTTTCTGTCTGTCTCATTATGGCAGTCAAGATTGAATGGGGGAGTACACGGAAAAACCAGAAGAATTTCTGCAACTCAAAAGTAACCTTGTCAACAATGAAATCTTGTTTTACTCCAAAGTATCTGAAATTTGAGTTAATGAGAAGTGTTGCAAAAGGATTTCCCAGACCCTTGCCTTTTGATTAATTCCACTTTTAAAAGCTTAAGGGTTAAAACTAAATAGAAGACAAGCCAGTGAGTCATCTGGTCCTATGACAAGTGAACCCAGGGCGAATCCAGTGATTTGGGAATTTGCCCTAGAGATTTCAGAGTTAATGCTGTGATTCAGAACCTGAGACACTCAAGGTTAATAGTGCCCCCTGGTGATGAGTGGAAGTAAATCCAAATACTGGAAACTAGTCAAGCTGGTGGCAATTTCAAGCATTCTGATCTGACGTTAAAATCGAAAAAGTGCCAGTTGCTGGTCTGGGAGGCCACTTGGCCCTCTGAAACATTAGTGGGGAAAGAATTTTGGGGCAGCGGTCAGTACTATGAACATGACCACCTGATTGTGTGTAAAGTCTTGTACCATCTAACCTGAAACCTGATTGAGCAAGCCGTGGAAAAGACTGGAAGAATAGGAGGTGCAGAGGCTTTGTAGGAAGTGAGTCCAGATCAGTCCAGCCTAGGAATGCTTATTTTCAGTCTTTCTGGTTACTCCCAGTTAAGAGTCTAGTTAAGATACTCTGTGCAAGAGTAACCGGTGATGTGTACTTTGTGGGCATGTCATTTTATGTACTTAATTGGTGTTAAACTTGATAAAATCTTGTTCCTAGTGCCCTTTAAGCCCTAGGCTTTGTTACACGTTTGGACAAAAATTGTAAAAGGACTCTGATGGTGTCTGGGAAGACCTTTGTAATGTGATTTGAGTAGGAAAGCAAATAGGCTATGTGATATCTGGGGGCAGAACAGTCCAGGCAAAGAATAGCAAATACAGAGTCTGAAGTGGAGTGTGTTGACGTGTTCTAGAGACAAGGTGGCCGGTTTGCTGGACCCACGATGACAAGAGAAAGGGTTAAGGCATAGAAGAGTATCCAGAAAAAGAAAACCAAGTCACGCAGGAAGGCCATAGGAGGGTTTTGAGCAGAAGGGTGACATGATCTGACCTAATGAACTGTACCCACTTGAGTATTTTACTCGGAAGGAGAGGTCTAAAGATTTAAAGAACTACTGGGAAAATCTCAGTGCATGACATTTGAAGCCAAAACAGTGGGTGAGATCACCTAGAAAGGATAGACTCGGCCCTCTGACTTGGAGCTTGAGATGGTCAGCATGATGACCTGGCAAAGTGATTCAGAGGAACTGTCCCTGAGATAGGAAAATCCTGAGAGTGGTCTGGAAGTCAAATGGACAGTGTTTCAGGATTAGTCTAGATGAGGACCAAGTAGGCGAACTTGACAAGTGTGTGAATAGTAGGGGAAGAAAGCAAGACTATAGTATATAACATATATGTGTTAATATGCTGTCTGTAAGGCTTCTGGTCAACAGTAGGCTATTAAAGTGGGGAGTGGAAAGTTATGTGCAGAGTTCTTACTGTGGGGAGTTTGCAGATAAAGTTAAGAATCATAATGATGGTAGTTTATATTTATCCCACTGAAGTCCTCCAAATCCATCCCTTAGTGCAGCAATGGTATGTCTGATGATAATGCTTGGCAGTCCAAAGCAGGTTTTTTTACTATTGTGGGGGCATGTTTTTAACTACTGGAACATTCTAACATACTTTCTGAGAGCTTGTAGATTATGGATTTGTACTATTACACATGGTTTCCTATTACAGCCTGGAAATGGGCATACAGGATTCCTCCGTACACTGGGCTATGCGAACCTCAAATGGATGTTTTAACAGGAGTCGTACAATTCAGTAGAAAAATGTCAACCATGAGCCTAAGGGAAAATTCTTTCCAAAGTAATTACTTGTTCAATGAGGTTCCCTTCAGTTACGCCTCCTCCACCCCCTCCAGGATATACTTGACATCTCCCTTTGTTCATATATACATAGTACTGAGCTAGTGGTAAAGCACAAAGCACGGAGATGGGGCAATACCTTACGGAGTGCTTTTGCATGAATGCATCACAGTTTGAGGTGAAAAATGAGAATTCAGACATCAGGTGACTGACTAGAGGGGTCCTCTGGGGGGAGGACACAGACCACAATTGGCTAATCAAGAGTGCAGTACTATTAATAGTACTGTAGAACTACTAGACATTCGGTCCTGAGTTTCTAACAGTTTGATGCTGGAAATCTAGTCTTGTACTTGGTGATTTTCTTCGTATGTAAAGACAGCAGATAAGTTCTAGTTTATTCTCAAACGCTACTTGCACATGACCTCACCTAGAGCATAGGAAAATAAAATCACTCTACCCAGAGTGGTGGAGAGCTGGTAAATCACAGAGAAAGTTAGTACTTTAAGGACAAGTATTCAAAACAGCTATACATGTAATTTCCATTTTCTTAGGTACATTAATTTAGAAGTCTCCCTCAAGAACTGCCATTTGTCCTGTAAGTCAAATAGCCAAACTAATAGTCAACCTTGGGGGTGGGGGATTGGCAAGTGAAACGAGGAAGATTACTACACAATAAATTTAAAACGTGAACACCTCTTTTGACTACCTTGAGGTGGAATAATGCATATCAACAAATGGCAAGTATAAAATCAGAAACTAAGGAAACTCCCCTCGGTGGCCTGCAATCAGTGTTTCTCCCCATCACTTTCCTAGCATTCCACCCTTCCGAAGTGTACTCTGACAAATCAACGTGATGGCAATCCACATTGATGGATTTTGTCAAGTGGAGCATGGGCAGGGTGTCCCTACCCTTGGTGACTGCCATCAACCGGCAGGACGGTAAATGCCACCTGCTGGCATCTATTAAAATCAAAAGTGACTAAGCTTTTGAAAACTGGTTAATGTGTAAACTGTTCCACTCTGTTCTACAGACAAAGGAGGAGGGCTGGGTGTGAATGTGAGAGCAGCTGATTTTAGCATCCCAAGAGCAACGTGAAGGCTTCCTTTTCTAAGGCATTTGCTAAACCCTCTAGTTTATGGGGTTGTGAGAGTTGTGCAAAACTCCCAACTACCATTTAGCTTCCCCTATCACTAGCCTGTGGTCATTTTGCGGACTATTTTCTAACCCCTGGGGTTGCCTGCATCTGAAGCCCCTTCCTACACCTGCATTTAACCTGGCAACCCTAACCATGCATGCTTCTGCTCCACAGCCTTTGCCCTGGCTGTTTTCTCAGCCCAGATGCTTTTCCCATGTAGCCACGTGGCTCGCTCTGACAACCAAGTCTGCTCAAAGGCTATCTGGTCAAAATCAGAGCGGCCTTTTCTGACCATGCCATTGAAACCTACACATCCCCCCACCCTCTTATTTGATTTTTTCCTCCATGGCACTTCTCACCATCTAACATACTATGATTTTACTTGCTTACTGTCTTATCTGTCTCCACGCAAGCTCCAAGAGGGCTCAGCTTTGAGGCTCAGTGCTGTATCCTGAATGTTCAGAATGGTGCCTGGCGCTCAGCACCGAGGTGTGTTGGTCACAGGATTAAAGGAATCGTGGGAGATCCTACACATGCTGCTGAGCTTGACCTGGATATGCTTCTTTTAAAAAAATATTTCATATCCTAGTCTAAACTGATACATTTAGTGATCACAGCGAGAATATCAGTCCCTTGCCCCACCTCATTCCTGCCAGGCTATTTTTACTCTCCCAAGACACATTCTGCATATTTGCTGTTTCTTTTTCTTTTTTAATCCTTATTTCTAAATAACTTTCTTCAACTATTATTTCTTGTTTTTTTCAGTTTCAGAGTTTAAAAATTACCTTCTGACTTTCTCTATGGAAGATGAAGATTACACTTTCTTGGCGCTGGTAACTCCCATCTCTTCTCTCCCTTGAGGCCTGTCACTTCTCTTTCCGCATCCTCCCATACAGTTATTTCCCAATTTAAGTTAATAATTATGGTATGTCTGTGTATTTTTTCCAAATTGAGCCATATAGTACAATTTCTAATTTTTGTTTTATATTTTGCTGGAGTTAATTCATTCCCTACTGCTTAGTTTCCTAGGTACTCATCATTAATTCATCCCCTAAAATCTAGAAAATACAACAATTCTAATTCCAACGTGTGGAAGTTTCCCCCACACCAAGCAGCTGGTTGTTCTACAATTTAACTCGATTCTGACACTATCTGGAGACAGCATCAGATTCCACAGGTGAAGGAATCAGTCCTGTACTGCGCCCACCTCCCCACTTCAGATGCCAGTCACAAGTCCAGGTTACCTGTGCTTCTAGAAATTGGAGATTCCCACACCCCCTCTTCAAGTTGGATTAATTTGCTAGAGCGGCTCACGGACCTCAGGAAAACATTTTACTTACTAGATGACCAGTTTGCCATGAACGGCTAGGACTCAGAACAGCCAGATGGAAGAGATGCATAGGGCAAGGTATGGGGAGGGAGTATAGAGCTCCCATACCCTCTCCAAGCTTGTCACCCTCCCAGCATGTAGATGTGTTCCCAACCCGGAAGCTCTCTGGAACCTGGAGGCTTCATTACATAAGCCTCATTGACTAAATCATTGACCATTGGTAACTGAACTCAACCTCCAATGCTTTGCCCCTTCCGTGGGGTATGGAACTGAAAGTTCCAACCCTTTAATCACGTGATTGGTTCCCTTGGCAACCAGCCCCTATATGGTGGGACTTTCCAAAAGTCACTCCATTAACATAAATCAGATGTGGCTGAAAGGAACTTGTTAGGAATACAAAAAACACACATTTCATTTTATCTTCGGGAACTATTTCAGGAGCTGGGAACAAAAGAAGCCCTTATAACTCTTATCGCTTAGGAAATTATAAAGGTTTGAAGTGCTAAGTGCTGGGAACCCAGGATAAAGACAAAAATATCTATTTTTTTTAAGTTTTATTTATTTAACTAATCTCTACACCCAACATGGGGCTCGAACAAGAGTCAAGAGATCAAGAGTCACATGCTCTTCCAACCGAGCCAGCCAGGTGCACCCCCCCACTTTTTAAAAACACCTATTTCTTTCTTTTTTTTTTTTTTTTAAAGATTTT